TCTATTATATCATATATCTCTCTTAGACCGGACTATATGTGTTAATATTAAGTTGTTTTAGTGAAACATTTATATATAAATATTCAACATACATAAGTGTTAAGGAATTCCAAATGTTACCTACCCAGTCTGTGACGCGTTCCTCTGTAAACAACTATTTCTGGATAACATCTGTTGCGGGGGGGGGGGGGGGACCCGTGCTCCTCTTTTCAGAAATAGATTGTTTTCTTAGAAATTTCAGAATAATAAATCAACTGAAGAAGAAAAGAGAGAAAATAGTTAAGGGAAGAAAGCCAAACTTTATAATCTTTACAGTTAGTTATTTTAATATAACTGATATAATTATTATTTATCTTTTAATTTTCCTTTAAAAAAAGGTAAATTATTAGATGATTAATAAAGCTATTAATTTTGAAAATTCATTAATATTTAATTTCCATTTTCCTCCCCAGAAATTGGAGATTAAATAAAATGAATTATATACAATATTACTTTAAAAATCTTGTGAAAATTTTTTAAAATCAGTTATAAAATTTAAGTTTAATTAACTGTTAAAGTTTATAAGTTTGTATTAGTTATTATTGAGAGAAATTATAAAAAGTTGATTTAATAAATGGATACTTCCATTTATTTTTTTAAAGTATTTTATAATTGATATACTGGTGAAGTATTTTACTTGTTTAATACTAAATTTGTTTTTAATAAATTCCATGTTTAAATTTTTAATATCTTCTATGAAATTTTCTAATATATTATTTATTCTATAAGATCTTAGAAACTGACCAAAATATATACCTTTGCAGCAGTTTAATGATATATTAGAATTTATATTAGAGTATTTTATAATATTGAAATTATAATTACTTTTTTTTTATAAATTTTAATAGCATTATTTGTAAGGTTTATATTTAGGTCTAAAAAGTTAACTTTTTTGTTTCTATTAATTTTTTCATTGTTCTTAAGTTTCAAGTATTTAGGATATATTTCAGGTATTATGTTTTTAAACTGTGGATTATTAAATATTATAATGTCATCTACATAACGGAATATTTGCCAATTGACATTATTTTGTAGAAAGTATTCTCTTTCGTACCAGAAAAGTATTAGGTTGGCTAATAAAGGACTTGAAGAAGTTCCCATAGGAACGCCTTCTGATTGAATATATATTTTATTTTTAAATTCTATATAATTAAAATTTAAAAAAGTTTCCAGTAGAGTTTTTGCTGTTTTAAGATCTAATTTAATTGTTTTATATCTGTTATGAATAATTTTAATGTGGAAAGTTTTGTCATTAATGAATTCGTTAAATAAATTGGTTATTTTATTATTTAGATCTCTTAAATTTATTTTAGAATATAGGTCCTCAAAATCAAATGTGTGTACTGAATCAATGTTTGTCCAATTGTTCATTAAATAGTTAATGATTTTTTATTTGAGTCGATAAATTTATAATTATATTTATTAGTTAATTTATTTATAATAAATTGTTGTGTAGAAGCTAATTGTATTTCAATGTTTTTTATAACTGAATTTATACCAGATGTGATTGTTCTAAATACAACTAGATATATTCATTATATAAAATATATATATTTTTTTAATCTTTAAAAAAAAAAAGACAAAATATAAAATTATAAAAAATATATATATATATACTAACAATCTTATCTACCTTCTTTACAAAAAAAAATATTTTCTTATTACTAGTTTGATTATAAGTGTATGGTTCTGTCTTTCTCTCTTTTCTCTAACTACTAAAATTTATAATATTAAATATATTCTCACTTCTATTATTCTATATACAAATTAGAGTATGTCTAAATGACGTGTAAAAGCCGATGCAAAAGACGTTACGTTGTTATATTTTATTGTTATTAATTATAAATATATAATTAATTGGATGATGTAAGAAGTAAAGGATTTTTTTTCTCTCTCTCTACTAAATAATAAAAATTTACAAATTTTATAATTTGAATTTAAATAATCAAAATAAAAAAGATAATTTTAATACAAAACTAACAACTAATATATAAATGAATAAGAGTTATAGTGGCTTATGCACTTTTTTTGTAATTTATCGAAATCCACAATCCGTGATAATCGATAAGAATAGATGCCCAGCGACATAATCTTGACAAAACTTTTGACTAAAATTCTGTCATGGATAACGAAGTAATTATTACCTCTTTGTGTATGAAAACGAGTAAACAATGGAAGCGTGACTCAGTTAATTATTTTAACGGCAGCTTTAGCACTTTTAACGTCAACTTAAAAGAAATTGACTGGACAATAAGGCAGAGCTTGTGATATGATGGCGGAAGTTAAATTAATTATAAAATTTTATGTTGAAAATAAAAATATTCGGGAAAGAAAGAAGGCTGATAATTACGAAGAACCTTCATATTAGTCAAGGACTCCCCGAAAAGAGTCAATAATACTTGTCTGTCTACATGTTGGATAATCAGGGGGAGGGGGTTCCATTTTGTTCCTTCTGGTGTGGTTGAAAGAAAATGAAGTAAAATTGACCCTCCTACCAACCAGAGGACTGTTGAAGTTTCGTTTCAAGAAAGAGGGTTCCGACTTTTGTGTGTCTGAGTGGTATTCTGATCCCAGGAATCATTTAAAAGGTATTTCATAAACAAAAAGGAAGGATAAGAGATTAAAGAAATGAAACAAATAAAATTATGTGCACACAAGCAGCTCACTTCTATCAGCGGCCCTGCCCTATCAAGAACAGCTAGCCAACTAACAAAGCTTGTGATATAAAGGCAGAGGTTAAATTTATCTAAACAATATGCAATATATCAAGAGTATTACATCGTAGAAATATCTTAGAATTGCCACTTTCAATAGTTTATTCGACTTCAATTGAATCTCCTAAATTCACTTAACTCCTAATCTTCTCATGAATATATTATACATGTAAAAAAACAACAATAAAAATTATGAACAAACAGACACAAAAAGAATATTGAACATGTTGATAGAAAATAGTAAAAACATATCTACAGATTGTTTAAAACAGAATTTTTGCTAAGAGTGCGTCAGAAAAAAAAAAAAAAAAAACATTTGATCTATTTTTAATCCTGAATATTCAACAAATTCACTTTCTTTATGATTCAAGTAAAGTTAAACCATGAATGCAGTACACCTCATGAACCGAACAGGTGTAAGTGGCTATCGCTATATGGCTATAGCAATATATTTATTTTTTAATGAACAGATTGTTATTCAATTATAAAGGACTGCGGCGTATGATTATAAAACAACACTTAAAGTTTCACCGCATAAGTTTCTTTTCTGTGAAAAATCAATAATTATTTCAAAGAGAAATATCTACTATTTCTAACTTTTTGGATGAAGTATGAAAGGGTGAAAATATGAAGATAATGGCGAACGGAAAAACTTCATCCTTCACCAAAAAAGTTAGAAATAGTAAATATTTCTCTTTGAAATAAATATTGATTTTTCACAGAAAAGAAACTTATGCGGTGAAACTTAAGTGTTTTTTTTATAGATTGTTAATTATTTATGTATTTTTTTTGCTACTTGTTGTACAACTTCCCTAATTACCTATTAGACAATTTAACAATTTTAATTGATTCTTCTAATCATTTTTTACAAAGGTGGAAAAAATATATAATAAGATAGTAAATAAAGGGTAGTATAAAGTTTAGGGGAATATATATAGTTGTGTATGTGTACACATTTCTTCAGCAAGGAAGGTTTCCCCATCTTGGGAGAGTTCTCCTCAGACAAGGTCTTCACTACTCAGTTCCACACCGAGGAGGTACCTATAGATGCGTGTCTTGGCAGACGCCCGGATGTCCTAATTAACTAATCTAATTACCAATTGGATATTTTATAAATTTTATTTTTTTTTACTTTTCCTTAACCCTTTAGGTGCCGGTCGTTTTCAAGGTCATTCCTAATTAGTGTTAGCCCTCAAAAAAAGGCTCGCAAAACTATTCTCTTAAAATATTTTGAAATACTAATATACTAGGCAACAAAATTGGAACAATTTAAAATACAATTAATTAATTTTTAACACAAAGCAATAACGCGCCATCTATATACAACAAATGAAGACAATTAGACGCGAATGTTTCTTTTCACAAATAAATCAAACTCCTACTGTCCTTACGCGTTATTGCTTTGTATTAATTTATGCCTCACTTGTTCTTATTGTTTGCGGAAGAATATTGCTCAATGCAAATATTTAATTGTAATTATACTGTCCTAAAATTTTCTGTTCATAGTTTACTTAAATACCATTTCTAAGATTCCACCTTTCATTGTAGAATATAAAAGCAGAATGATCCAATACAGTATTAGAGATCTAAAGAAGCGGTCTGGTAGATTAAATTGGCGAAACCGCTGAGAGGGTTACCACTGATGAGCCAAACCCATCCAAAATATTTTTTAATCGCAGTAAGGACAGTAGAAGTTTGATATATTTGTGAAAAGAAACATTCGCGTCTAAATGTCTTCATTCGTTTTAATTAATTCTTCTTATTATATTTTAGGTTAAGGAGAAGAGGGACTTCAAGTCACACCAAGTCGATGCATCGATTTTCCAGGTGCTTAAAAAGTTAAATAAATTACTGTATCATCTTGAAGTTTTTCTTGAAGGTTCTTTCTGAGCCTTGAGATGAGGGGAGAACGTGACTTACTGTCTGGACTCTCTGTCGTTGGGGAGTCTGCTGGACTGTACATAACTGTATATTATTTTACTCCTTTATTTTATCCCTCTTTTTATGAGGATCTCATATATATATAAAAGTCAATGTCTGTCTGTTTCGCGATAAACTCAAAAACTACTGAACCAACTTGGTACCAAATTTTGCATGTCGCTTTTTATAAACCTGAGGAAAATTTCGGTTAAATTTTGATTAGTATTTTTGGCTATTTCTTTTTTTTTTTTTCATTTGAAGAACTTTTTTTTTACGCGGAGTAATCCGGAATGGAATGGATACCCAAATATGGCCATTTTTTTATAAGGATCGGTGGTTCAGTGGTAAGAATGCCTCGCCTGCCACGCGGGCGGCCCGGGTTCGATTCCCGGCCGATGCATTTTTTTTTTTACAATTTTTAAAAACTCATTTATATTATATACTAGACGTATGACCCTGCTTCGCCCGAGAATTCCCCCGATTGCAATTTCCTTCATACTGAAAGTACATCAATAATAAATATTAGAAGTGCCATAGAATAGCATAGCAATACAGAAGTAACACATAAACTACAGGAAAAAAGTGTGTGTGATGGCAAAAATTGTATTATATTAGTGTTTAGGTATTCGATTTAATTAATATAGTTGATATAATAATATATATTTATATTATATATATAATATAAATGAGTTTTAAAAATTGTAAAAAAAAAAAAATGCATTGGCCGGGAATCGAACCCGGGCCGCCCGCGTGGCAGGCGAGCATTCTACCACTGAACCACCGATGCTTATAAAAATGGCCATATTTGGGTATTCATTCTATTCCGGATTACTCCGCGTAAAAAAAAAGTTATTCAAATGAAAAAAAAAGAAATAGCCAAAAATACTAATCAAAATGTACCCGAAAATTTTCCTCGGGTTTATAAAAAGCGACATGCAAAATTTGGTATCAATTGGTTCAGTAGTTTTTGAGTTTATCGCGAAACAGACAGACATTGACTTTTATATATATAGAGATAATATAAATATATATTATTATATCACAACTATATTAATTAAATCAAATACCTAAACACTATATAATACAATTTTTGCCATCACACACATTTTTCCTGTAGTTTATGTGTTACTTCTGTGTTGCTATTCTATGGCACTTCTAATATTTATTATTGATGTACTTTCAGTATGAAGGAAATTGCAATCGGGGGAATTCTCGGGCGAAGCCGGGTCATACGTTTAGTAGATTATATAATACCACCATTGACTTGTGTATGATGTCAATAAAATATTTTTAAATCTCAAAATCTTGAAGTCTGTCTTTCATAATTTTCTACGCTACAATACTGTCAGGAGGACAAAGTTTCCTGGTACAATCTCTTATCTGGACTGGTATATTTCCTCGGTCGGGGAAAACAGTCATGAAACGTGGAAGGAGAAAAACTCAGTTCTCCCCTCTTTCTGCAACTACACTCTGGGGTCGATATAGCTCATGTATAGCATTACCATTATTTTATATATATTTTTAAATCTTTCATATAACTAACTAAAAATATATTTAAAGTTTTTCGGAAGCCTATTCAATTATTTTTCATTGCAACAGTATAAAATATATTGTGGCGAAGAAATAATTTATTATATGATTTAATATTATTCAATGAAAATATATTTGTTGTCTTGTCTTAAATTTGAAAAAAAAGACAATACAAGGTCCCGATGGCTTAACCTGAACTAAAAGCTCCTAGCTTTACAGTAATGCTGGAAACTGACTTGAAAATTATAAATTGATAAATCAATATCTTTGTTGCAGTGATCAGAAGAATTGAGTCACAACGCTGGATGGCGAGGCCAAAAGTAGAAAACAGTGATGAATAATTTAATACTTATTGAAAGAAATATTTATTTAAAAATCACACAAATTAATATTAATACAAATATTATTCAAAACCAATTATTAAAATTTATGAGAGATAGTTCTTTTTCAGGCCTGTCAAAACCAAACGCTGGCGTCGAGACAGCTTTGTTTACAGGAGATGCGGGGGTATTCTTTTTTTGCTCGCGCATGCGCGGGGGGCAGCGGGTGCAGTGTTGCCAGCGCTCGGTTGGCCCAAAAGTACCTATGGTCGCGTCACTCTCCCACCTTGACCTTTTGAACTTTGCTATAAGGTCAATATTAACTTTAAAAAAAAAACAAAAAAGGAATTATCTCAAATCTAACAGAATGTTTTATGATTAAATTTTCTCTCAAACTTCACTTAAACCTAATCGGTAACTTGACTTTTCTTCCAGAACGCGTGTAAACTTTCCCTACTTTTACTGGAGTAGTTTTCTCTTGCACTGACACGGACTCCACACCGGGTTTTTCTCCTGACGATCTCATCCTCCGCTGGCTTAAGCTCCCCGTCGCCTTGCTCTACGTCCTCAGATGGTACTTCAAGTGGGAACAATCGTTGAACTGCACGCTTCATGAATCCAGACTTAGTCTTAACTTCCACAAGTCTTCGCACATTGCCAGTTCCAGGAAACACCTTCGTAATCTTTCCCATAGGCCAGTTTATTTGCTTCCTGTTTTCAACCTCCACGAGGACGATATCTCCAACTTTTAACTGTCGTTGTTTCTTGCGATTGTCGTGATGCACCAACAATCCTAGGTACTCGCTTCTGAACCTCTTACGGAATTCCTTCAGGAGTCGTTTGCGTTTTCATAGCTCTTCCCAAAGTTACACCTGAATTCATTTAGATCAATCTCTCCTTCAGTTCTTGGTTCTCGAAGGAACATCTCTGGGGTTAATGGCACAAGGTCATCATTGTCCTCAGCAATGTAGGTGAGTGGTCGCGCGTTGATAACTCGTTCACAGTTTTCGAGGATCGTCACCATTTCTTCGTAGTTGACAACACGTTTTCCCAGCAATCTTCGAAGCAGCTTTTTGGTGAAATTACACCACAAGCAGCGCCTCTCGCGGTATCTGGTGAAATTACAATTATAAATTGTAAAAATGCTAAAATGTGTTCCAAGTATAATAAATTTAATATTTAATTTGAGGATTTAGTAATATGATTTTCTAATGACGTTGTAAAAAGACTTGATATTTCAATATTATTATATAATATAATAAAAAACCTCTTATTTAAAATTTAATGTTTTCAAAAAATTATGTGTTTCAAAAATATTTAAATATATATAACAATATTTATATACGTTTATAAATATATATAGGTTTTTAACTTTTAATTGGACATTTTAAGCCATTTTAAGACATTTTAATTTAGACATTTTCATGATGATATTTAATAATTACAAAATTATAATTCAATTGAAATTCGTTTGCAATATTGTTTAATATCACAAGTGAAGAAGCATGTTTATTCTACCATCAACTATGTATATCTATGTTTTGAACATAATGTAACATGGATGACAATGCCAAGATTTCAGAGTAAAATTGGGGGAAGATGAGGGGAGGGATGACCATGTGTTGTCGGGGGCAGGCGCCAAAAATAGCATTCCTGATGACATCTGCAGCAAGGATCCTTCTGACGGGGAAGTTGATGAGAGAAAGAGAGAAAATAGAGGTAACCCGGGCTCCTGAAGCGTAAATCACCAACTACCCGGGCTGTACAGCTACAATCTAGAAGTCTAGTCATGGGGAGGATAGATTGCTGAGGTGAACCAGGTAACCAGGTAATTCCAGGCAGGCAGGGAGTCAGGAAGTAGGGGCAGGGCTTAAGTCTTGTACTCCAAGCAGTGTCTGTAGCCTGTGTAGCATAACAGCTGGACAGGAGAAGAGGAGGTGGTCCACAGTCTTTGAACCTTTCCGCAGTGAGGACATGTTGAATCTCTATGCCAGAGATCTGCCAGAACATGGCCGTGACCAGTAAGGATGGTAGTGGTGGCCATTCCAGGGCGTATTTTGGACAGGAATGACCTAAGGCGGATTGGGGAGGTCGCAAATCTTTTTAGTTTTCTGTTATGGTAATCTTGGGTGTAGACTAAGGTCCAAGCTTCCATAGCAGATGAGTGGGCACGGCTGCGGGCAAGGCTTTGGGAAGGATGGAGTAGGATTGTTCCAGGTTCGAGATTGCTGCAGTCTTTGCTGCCTGGTCAGCCAGTTCATTGCCTGCAACTCCACTGTGGCCCTTTACCCAACAGAGGCTGACCTGAGGTGGGAGTCCCAAGTCCCACTCATTGTATTCCTTCTGTTAAGTGAGACAATAATAAAGCCCTAACTTTAGCTGTATCCCTTCTAACCAACGTGTGTATCTTTGTGGCATCCTGAGTAGACAAATAACACAAACAACGTCTGAGTACGACGTAACAATGTTATATTCAAATGACATATATGTAGGGATAGTTTTATTGTTAATTTTCATTTTGATGTATTGTATACATTTGATCATTAGTAAATTATGTTTGAGGTATCAAAACTGCCTTTTTGTTCAAACACAGCAACGTGTGGTACAGCTAGGTGGAGCAGAATATCAAACATAAAGTTATCTTGACAAGTATAGATTCAGTAGGGATTGAATGTTTGCTAGAATTGTTTTAACAAATGTTCGTTAGGCAAACTTTTACTCGGGTAAAAACTGGGCGAAGCCGGGTACATTCGCTAAATACAGCTATTTACAAATGTTCGTTTGTGGCAAGATACTATTCCTTCAACTTCAAATTACCGAGTGGACCAATTAATATTGATTTTATTCAACTTATCGAGTATTTTTCAAGGGACCGGGAAAAAATTTTCAAATTATCGAGAGTATAGAGAAGTATAGATTCAGTAGGGATTGAATTTTTTCTAGAATCGTTTTAAAAAATGTTCGTTAGGCAAAGTTTTACTTGGGTAAAAGCCGGGCGAAGCCGGGTATATTCGCTAGTATGTAAATAAATCTCTCACATCATTTTACCAGTTATGAATAATGTTTTTATTGCTGCTAAAAGCGGAGTGTGTATAGGTGGTAAACAAGGGCTGGGACAAATATTGCCGTCAGTAGGAAGTCTCCATAACACGGCGTATGACAATTCGATTCACAAATATATCTAACAAATATTCTTACCTGCCCTTATATTTTACAACAACAACAACAACAAAAGCCTTTATTGAGGACCTCTCGTCCTATAAAGGATTCGCCAGTTTACAGAGTAATTGAAGAGAAGAGAACTAAGAATACAGAGAGAAACCTATATGTAGTAGGTATAGTATAGTATTTTCTACACAGTGTGACTATATACAACAGCAGCAACAAGCCTTTTACTGGAATCAAAGTCCCATACAGGATTCGTCATTCTAATCCTAACAAAGATTATTTACATATATTTATTTACATCAATTAGATTATGTATATAGCTTCCCCTTCTCTTCAGCCGTCACTTTTATATTTTAAATAAATCAATAATAAATCTAGGGAT